ATATATTCAAAGTTTTAAAGGAAAAGCAATTGCAGACACATATACTATATCTGGCAAGATTATCCTTCATATGAGAAGAAAAGACAAGAACATTCTCAGATAAACAAATTCTGAAAGAATTTACCAACACCAGACCAGATCTCCAAGAAATTATTCAGGGATATATACACACACACAAATATATATAAGAAACTAGAAATGGAAAAGTATTGATGATAACATGTATGATTAAGCTACTATGCAGCATCTTCTGGAGAGGAAATTGCATTTTGTGTGCTTTGATAATGCTCAGTGAATAAATGTAAATTAATTAATTAAAAAATAAATTTAAAAAGAAAAAATAATAAAATAAATTAATTTTTAAAAAGAGCATGTGCACACATGAGCGAGAGAACTGTACACAGGGTCGCATCACACCATGTTCCCTTTCTCCAGCCCTCCAGCTTGTCAAGACCATGGGCACACATGCATGTGCCTGTCATGTCTCAGGCTGACCTAGGGATCTGAGTCTGCAATTGGCCATGTGGCTTCCAGCACTGTAGTTCATTTGACTCTCACCGCACCACCAGGCAAGGCCAAAATTTCTTTTCTTTAACTAACTATTTAAAGTTACTGGATGGAGTCCTCATTACTTATTACTTTTTTGAACAAAAGTGACAGCTTATTAGGTATATTGAAATCTCTTAATAGATTATCTCCCTTTTAGTATTTATAGTGTTCATCATTATCCTTGAAACTTTTAGTAGCCCTGGGAAACTCCAGCTAAAATATATGTCAGTCCGTACCTCTAAAACGTACCATGCAACAAAACACATAAGGCAAGTTCTGCAGGATGTCATACTAGACATAATATTAATTACTTTTCAAATAATTGGAGTAACTTTAGACAGGATAAAAAATGTATAAACAAACCAATAGTTTATTTAGTTTTTAACTGTGTGCCAGGTGTTTTTATGTCTTAGTGGACATGTGGCAAGTTTACTGACAGAATTAAAAAAAGCCCATGGGTAAAAAGATTCTCCTACTGAGACATTGAAGTTTATCACACATGGCATGTGATATAAGTTATGTGAGATGTATGCTCATAAGAATCACAAATGGTACATGGATACACATTGACCTTTAGCATCTCAGAATTAGACTCCTTTCTTGTTCTCGAGACTCCTGGCATCCTATAAATCACCATAGCAGCTGTTCTTTTTGCTGGACCCAGGAACATTTCCCAAGCTCTCTCTGCCAACTTTCAGTTCAGAACTTCTTGCTCTCCTTTGATAGGCTGCCTCTTGTTCGCTGTTGTTCCACTCGGCCTACTCAAGGATAGCAAGAGTTGGTGTATGACTCGGAGCAACTTCCTCTGATCACTTTTGAGCTGGCCTTAATTTCTGTGGTAGAAAACCTAACACAGGCCTCATTGCTCCATGATTTTGCTTCCCATAAATGGGAATGTTGACAACCATCTATACAGCAAATATAAGACTGCTTCACAATCTAGTTGAAAAACACATGGAGAGTTTGAGGGCAAAGGCAGCCTTAAGAATTGCACTTACTGGGGCCAGCAGGTGGCATGGAAATTAAGACATGAGACTCCTGCATGGCTGACCATGGTGCAAGTCCTGGATATGGGGGCTTGCTTTCTCACTTTCCCTCACACTCTCTTGCTCTCTTTCCATCTAGTTTTGATGAGTACATGTACCCTATAGCAATTAAAAATGGCTAATAAGGATAAATAAAATTTAATAAAAATTTAATAATTTTTCAAAAGAGCTGCTCTTATCAATTAACTTAATGAGAAAAAAAAACATGATAACCCCCCTCATTTAATCATCAGAATTTTTTTTTTTTTGCTATAGAGCATGTGGACTCACTGAGAGAGGTAGAGAGACAGAGATAGAGAGAAAGTGAGAAATTACACCTCCAGGGGGATGACCACACTACAATCCCCTTTCCTCCATTCTCTTCTTGGAATTTTGGGCATGCACCCACATGTCCTGGCAGTTTTCAAGCTCCTGGGTCTAGAACTTGAGCCATGCAGCTGGGCATATGGGAAATAGTGCCTTAACCTCCACTCCGCCTGCTGGCCCAACAGCTGTACTTTTCATAAATGTATTTACATAAAGACGAAGTAGAGGTAAAAAAAATCTAAATTAATATCCTTTTAAGCCAGTTTTTTTTTTTTTAATTTTTAAATGTTTGTTTATTCTTAAGAGAGAAAGATAAGAGACAGGAGCCCCCAACAGGGTCTTCATGTCATGATCCACCCTCAGCCTCAGCCAGCCAAGATCACAGCATTAATACACAGCATGTTCAGGAGACCTCAGGACACCAACTAGGGGCCGCAACGATACAGTGTGGCCGCAACGATACAGTGCTGTATTACCACTGCACCACTGTGGCTAGCCTGAAACAGATATCTTTGAATTTAAAAACTTATTTGGCTATATCAAACCACTACAAATCCTTGTACTACTAATAATGGGACATTTGTAGCTAGTCAAAGGTAATTTGTGTGGGCCAAATAAACTTGAAAAATGATAAATTTTCATGTTTTTACAATGGCTGTGACATCATGGTCACCATGACAGAATGCATGTCCTCATAACAGCTTTGAACAAAAGTAGACCCAGCATAAAACAAAGAGATGTAGGATGCTGTGACTCTGCCAGTTATTGATCATGTGACCTTGCACATACAATGTTACCCATTCATTGACTACAAATCACATGACTTCAATTCACAAATAAGAATAGTAATGTCCTTCATAAGATTTGCAGAGAGTCAGACTACCCAACTCTAGGCAGTGTTGTTCACATTACAGTGTATATGAAGGGCACCCCTTGGACGTGTTAACACGTAGATTTGGTTTTAGGCCAGTGAAAATCAGGGAATGTAAGCTTAAGAACTTTGTAAAATTTAAACTACAAACAACATCAAATAATATTTAATATGAGGGGCTGACAGATGCCATGGTGTTAAGCGCACTGGTCCCACATGGCCAACCACAGTTTGAGTTCTGGACCTGGTGGCTTGCATTCGTACTTTCCCTCCCATTCTGTCTCACTCTGGTCAAATTGAAAATAATGATAATAATAAATAAAACTTAAAATATTCTTTAAAAATAGTTAATATGAGCACTTTAACTCTCATAAAGATAAAATAAGAATGAGGAGTACTATTATTTCCAACATTCTTTCTAAAGGTGAAAAATAAGGAACAGAACTGAGATCACACAGCTTTTTAGAGGAGGATCAAGGTCTAAAACCCAGACTTTAACAAACATAGAAGAATAACAACATGTTTTACTTCAATTTATACTAATTATCATGCCAATTTTAAAACGCTGGTATTGTACCACTTTATTTCTTGGAAAAGAACCAAGGATATATAAAATTGTAAAATGCCTATATAAAGATGGGTTTATGATTGCCAGGGCATTTGAGATACTCCAAGTAATAAGATACATTTCAGGTTACTAGGTAAAACAGAATTCCATGTACATATAAACAACATCCACTATTAGGGATTTAGCTGATCTTCCATGTCAAGTCATACAGACTGGTTGATATACTGTGAGAAAAGGGTAGAGAACATGAAAAATACTTCCTTCCTAAGGTATGACTTCTGTTAAATTTCCTAGGAAATAATCCATGCCTGATATTTCTCTACATTTCTATTATTGTAGCAAATAGTGTATTATATGTAATATGCTCTGGATAAAGATCGTTGGCATGATAAACAAATCTAGGTGGTAATAACATTGTGGGAAGAAGTAATTATTCTGTCATTGGGGTAAAAGAGACTATTTAAAAAGACTTCTGGTTGTATTAAAAATATTTTTGACATCTAAGATATGTGCATATCCATTTCACGTACTGGTATATTTTCTATTAAACTTAGATATAATTATCTGTCATTTCACATACAAGAAATGAACTTAAAAAAATAGTCTAAGTCTTTAAAATCATGTGCTCTGTGGTATTATAGGTCCTGGAAAATGTGCTTGATAGTTTCTTCTACTTGGTTTAACTAAGACATGGTATTTCATAGCCCTTAGAATAATATTGACCTTGTAATTTATATGAGAAAAAAAAATCTCAAACCATCTTTGAAGTCAGACTAGAGTAGGGGAACAGTAGTCCCCCAGTGTGTGTTACAAATGGAGAAGGCAAACAATATATTACCATGGGCACTTGTGCAACCTCAGTCTTCAGTTAGGATTTTCCATATTCACTTCTCCACGTAACAACAGACGTGAAATGGACATGAAACGGACACTGGGCACTGGGATAAAGGATGGGCTAGTCATCTCCCTCATAGGACTAGCATTCTGTGTGGAGCTACATCCTCTGCAAGACAGAAGCACATGTACTCCTCAAGTCCAAGTGTAGGGACTACATCATTGCTATGACGACTTTGTAAATAAATCTTCCCGCGTACAGATGTATTTCAATGTTTCTTACCATTGGTTCTAAAGATTCTCATTAAACCAAAATAAACATCAATACTTAGCCTAACAGAAATTTCCACTTATTATGAAAGTGTTATTTGAAAATAATTCCCTTTTCTTTCAATGTCAGATTGAAGTGGCAGTGACATGCAAGAGGTAGCTTTTACATCTTCATATAGAATAAAACCAACTACAAATTTCAAAGATATTTTAAATTAGCTTCAATTAATTTGATAGCCTTCTCCTGTTTGTGTAGCCAAACTGCTCACTTTCCTTGACTGACTTAGTCTGTTCAGGTTGCTATAATAAAGTATAGACTGAATGGCATATAAACAACAGCAATTTATTTCTCATAGTTCTGGAAGTTGAAAGTCTGAGACCTGCATGGTCAGATTCTGGTGAGGGTCCTCAGAGGGGGTGTAGATTGCCCCCTTCCTATTGTTTCCTCCCACTGCTGAGTGAGAGTGAAGGTGCCTTCTGGGGTCTCATTTGTAAGGGTACTAACTCTATTCATGATGGTTCCACCCTCATGACCTCCAGATATCCTACCTTTTATACCATCACCTTGTGAGTTAGGATTTCAGTGTAGGAATTTATGGTGGGAAAATAGAAACATTCCAATTCTTCACAGTTAAAACGAAAGGAAATTCAGGCTGGCCTATAGCACAGGGATTAATTACAGTGCATCAGGAACTGGATTCCACTTGTCTGACCATAGTTTGAATCCCAGTCCCAGTTTCTTAAAATCACACTACCTGTGTGTATGTGTGCACCAAATCCTGATTAGATGGGTTAATTAGGGAGACGAGATTTGTGGCATGAGCACAGCTAATTGAGGGTGCTTTCTCTCTCTCTTTCCCAAATTTCTCTCTGCTCTCCCTCTTTTCTTCCCTTCCTCTCATAAGTATATACACCCTCTGGAAATTAAATATAAAAATTTAAAAATAAAGAGAAATTCAAATATGATAAAGTGTTAAGGAATTATAATTCCCCTCATTCTTGAAGACTTTCTACATTACATCATAGATGATACATTAGAATAATAAACAAATAAATAAAACACTGGCTTCTAATACTGCTCTTAAAAAGATTACTTAATAATAAGAAATATTACTTGACTACTTTAATTCTCCAGAGATTTTGTAATAAAATATACAACTTCTATTGCATTGTCAGAAAAGTCATGATGAATTTTCTATGTTTTTCTATGTAAAAATGTGTCATGACTTTTCAGATTACCCAATAGATGTCACTTTAAGATGCAATCAGCTTAAGTTTTGTCAAGGCATTGGAGGGGCTTCAGTTTGTCATATTCTAGAGATAGGTGGTAAAAGTGCTCTTTATGATGTTAGGTGCTAATGTTAATGCTTCACCTCAAAAAAAAAATACTGTGCAGATTATATTTACTTATTTACTTATCCAGTTCTTCTAATAAAATACATTAGTTTATATGTCTAACTAGCTTTTGAAAAAATGTTTCCAAATGGTATGTGCTCTCATTGGAGAGAGAACAAGAGAAAGTGAGAACGTTTCCTCATGAGGAATGGTCATGCCCAAATACCTTCTCCTCTATTTCTCCTTCCTTTCAAGATTTTGGACATGCATGTACACACAGACATGATGTGTTTCACAAGCTGCCAGATCCAGGACTTGAATTGTGGGGTTAGCCATGGGGGATCCAGCCATCTTAACCAACACAGGCTAGCCTAAAAATTGTGGGGTTAGCCATGGGGGATCCAGCCATTTTAACCAACACCTGCTAGCCTAATGTTCTTTCTTCAAGAGAGGTCCTTGAATTGCTGAAAATATTCTTATTTGTGTCTTTTAATCATAGTTTTCTAATTTTTACTGAAAGAACACTCATGTCCCAACAAATAAACATCTTTAGAGAGTTAGATAGTGGTTTAGTGGTAAAATGCAACATTCTGCAAGACAGTTCCACCTGGGAAGATTCCCTGTTCAAGTCTGCAGACCTTCCTGAGCAGGCCAGATATGTGTGAAACTGTGATCCAAAACTGATCTAAACTGGAGTGAGATCACCACGACTGGACCCTTGGGAAAGAGATGAGTACACAAACATTAAAAGAAAATTACACAATTTAAAATATATGTATATAAATATACATATATAACACATATTTAAATTAGATATAGTTACATATATTTATATTTAATTTCTTTATACCTCAGAATGCCCCTTGCTTAGTTCTCTAAAGCCACAAACTTATCAAAAACAGTCTTAAGATCTGAGTATTGACTGTACATTAAAAACCCAGGCTCTGTGTTAAACTTTCTGGAATGAAATCTTAGCTCAGGCAGTTATCGAATATGTGGCCTTAACTGAGCAAGATAATAATTTCTTGGAGCATCAGTTTCCTGGTGTAAAGAAACAGAGCAGAAATTATACTAACTTGATATACATGAGCAACGTCCTGCCGGAGAGCACGGGACAGAGTTAGTGTAGTCATCACAGCCTTGGAAGTCAATAGCCTGTGATCCTCACTGTGTCATCACAGTGATGAGGGGGACAGCATGAAGTTATTTGGTGGTCTTCACATACATGATGCAAACAGATACATTTCAATTACATGGAAATTTATTTGTGGTATTTTTACTTTCTATGTTTGCATAGACAATTGTATCTTCTTTTGTTTGTTTATTTGTTTCAGGCAGATATCAGATGATTTCTTTCTCAGGTATTAAAAAATAATAAAAATGGGGACCAGCAGATGGCATAATAGTTACATCACTGGACTCCTACACAGTCAACTGTGGTTCAAGTCCTGGACTCAGCTGGTTAAAACTCATGCCTGTGTGTGCATACCCAAGATCCCAAGAGGACAATAGAGGAGAAGGGATTGCGGTGTGCTCATTCTCGTTGGGGGATTATTTCTTACTTTCTCTCTCTCTGTCTCTCTGCAAGTACATGTGCCCTATAGCAAAAATATCTCTCAAAAATAAAATAAATAATGAAAATGGAAAATTACACTGGAAATTTGATCATTTAGGAAACATGTTTATCAATAAGGTATAACACAAAAAGGAGGAGTAAAAGGGAGATGTAGTCAGAAATGAGCAAAAACTTCCTCTGCTTTTGGAAATCTAAGCACATGCATCAGGTACATTTCATTGTATGGCAGGTGTAGCCATGATGCTTTCCGTGGAAAGGGTTGGGCCATGCATGCACATGTGTGTGCCAGAGTCTTCCTATTACACCTGCATAGACACCAACTTTTCCCATGACCATCAACTAAGGGTTGTTTATTACAGTGGAGACAGTATAGATGCAGGATCTTAATTTATATGGCTAAAAATGGCTGAAGGTGGGACCAGCAGATGTCTTAATGGTTATGTCACTGGATTTCCAATATTTGACTGTGGTTCAAGTCCCGGACCCAGTGGCTTAAAACTCATGCTGGGCACATGTGTGTGTGTGTGCTCAAAATCCTGAGAGGAGAATGAAGGACAAGGGGTTGAGGTGTGGCCATCCTCCCTGGGGGTGATTTCTCACTTTCTGTCTCTTTCTGTTTCTCCAGCGAGCATACACACCCTATAGCAAAAATTTCTCTAAAAGAAAAAAAAATGCCAGAAGGTGAGGTGTTCACCAAACACTGCTGGTTTCCTAAGCTATAACTGCATAAAGTGGAGAGAGAATCCTGCAGAGTTACATAGGCTTTCTTAGACATGAGCTCTGCAATGAAGTGATTCATTTAGAAGTAAGGCACTAATTTGAAATAATACTCTAATCATTGTTAATTTTGGTGCTATTTACTTTAATGATATTAATCAGAGTGAACCTACATAATGATACAGCAAGAGTCATAAGAACAGTTCTACAAGTTTTACTTTGCATTCTATAACAATTAGTGTGTCATCATGTTATCACAAACCAATTGGAAAATATTGCCATAAGATGACATAAAAATGAAGAAGGAAGAGACTATTAATGACGATCCTAATTACGCTAGGAAGGAAATCAAAACTCTTCATCAGTTAAGAGACCACTCTTATTAGCTGATTAGAGTGTGGATGTATAAAACTGTCTGGTAAGCAAATTATAATGAGCAAAACTAAGATAAATTTAGGTATGAAAAATTTCTGTGTTGGGACCAGTAGTTAGTGTAATGGCTATGTCGCTGGACTCCCATGTAGTTGATGACCGCGTTCAAGTCCTGGACCCGGTGGCTTAAACTCACGCCGGGCGCGTGTGCGTGCATGCCCAAGATCCTGAGAGGAGAATGGAGGAGAAGAGATTGTGGCATGGCCATGCCGCCTGGGGGGTGGTTTCTTGCTTTCTGTCTGTCTCTGTCTGTCTGGCAAGCGCACGCGCCCTATAGCAAAAACCTCTCCAAAAAAAAAAAAAAGGAAAAAAAAATTCTTTGTTCATTTTTGCATACAGCTTACATGGTGCTTCATAAAAATCAAAACAACCTGGGGCCAGCAGATGGCATAATGGTCATGTCATTGGACACCCACATGGCTAACCATGGTTCAAGTCCTGAACGTGGTGTCTGAAAAGTCACACTGGGTAACTTGTGCATGTGTGCCCAAGATCTGGGGAAGAGAATGGAGGAGAAGGGATTGTGGTGTGGCCATCCCTCCCAGTGGGGTGATTTCTCACTTTCCTTTTCACTCTGTCCATCTTTTTCTTTCTCAGGAGAGTATATGCCCTAAGGCAAAAACTTCTTAAAAATTAAAACAATCATAAATGACATTTTAAAACATTAGTGTTATTATTTTTATTATAGTTATTTAATTTGCTATCAGGCACATGTGCTCACCAGAGAGAGAGAGGGAAATTGAGAAAGCAAGCCACCAGGTCCAGGACTTCACCCACAGTGGGCTATGTGAGAGTCCAGCACCTAAATCACCATGTTAGCTGCTGGCATTGAATAGCATTTTCATAATTATTTTTTTTTCCCTAGAGTTTACTTCAAGCTCCTCTTAGAATTTAAGAGGCACAATTGTATACTCAAAGTGAACTTGTGGCAAAAAGTAAGCATTTCCTTTCTGACTTGCCCTCTGATGAGCAGATAGTGCTCATGAGCAGGATTGGTCAGTGTCCACCTGACCTTCTGAGAAGCAAATGAGAGAGTGCCATAAAGCAGCAAATTGTCATGACACCCTTTATGCATATTTTTATTTTCACAAGTGTATTGTTATTGTAAGTGTATGTTTCTATGTATATTCTCCTCAGTGACCATGAGATCATTCAGGATAGAAACCCTCTGCAAAATAAAATAAATAAATAAAAAATAAAAGAAAGAAATGGGACCAGCAGTTGGTGTAATGGCTATGTCGCTGGACTCCCATGTAGTCGACGGTGGTTCAAGTCCCGGACCTGGTGACTTAAACTCATGCTGGGCGTGTGTGCATGCGTGCCTAAGATCCTGAGAGGAGAATGGAGGAGAAGGGATTGTGGCATGACCATTCCCCCTGGGGGGGGGGAGGGTGATTTCTTGCTTTCTGTCTCTCTGTCTGTCTTTCTTTTTCTGGCAAGCGCACACGTCCTATAGCAAAAACCTCTCCAAAAAAGTAAAAAAAAAAAAAAAAACAAACAGAGGGAAAAGAAAAAAAAATGATAGACAGGGGAAAACCCATGGGAATGTTTCCAGGGGCATTTGTTCCCTAAGCTCTAAACAGTGGGTCCCCAACGTCCTTGAGACTCTTTCGTTTTCTATCACTGCCTTATAATTATATCTGTCACTCTCCTTTTATTATCAGAAGGT